TCTTATGATGCATTAGATATGTAGATGTCCTGTGTTCGAGAATAACCCTAGTTGTATTGGAAGTCTGTATCCATCAGGGTACGGTAAGCTACAGTGAGAAAGTCAAAAAGATACATGATATGTAGTGGGGACGATTACGAGAAGATTCGATTGTTGCATGTGTGTACGAAAAAAAAAAAAAAGAATGTGCAGAGAACTACGATTCCATCGATACGACGAACAGGCGATATATTTTGTTGTCGCCCTTGGAGGCGTGTCTGTCGTCGCCTGGGTCGTTGTTCGTGCCACTGAGCGGTGGAGGCTTGAAGTTGACCGTCCGGGGCGTGTAGAGGTTCGCCACGGCCTGGTCGCTCTGTCCGCTGAGCTTGGTTTGTCCGCGCATGAGGATGACCTCGATGTTGCGCGGGTGGAAGAAGTGCTGTCCGTCCATCTTATTGAGTTGCTTGTCCCAAAAAGGAAGGATACGGAGATGACTTACGTGGTTCCATTTGTCCACCAGGAGACTGACAAGTGCGGGCTTTTTCCGCTGGATGTGGTGCATTATCGCGCTGGCTATTGCGATGTCTAGCGGAAGCGAAGAATTGGAATTGCTATTAACTGAGAAATGAATGAAGGAAACGCACTGATCCAAGGTATCGCGGACAGGATTGGTATGGAATAACCGAGATTCTTCTCCTTCTGCGTCAGCCTTGCGACGGTCCGCATCTCCTCGAGGAAGCTGGGGAGTTTACATGAGAGGCCTCCAGTGCATAATATGATACATCCGCACCGTGTCCAATCAGTCTCATTAATATCGGACCAAGAGAAGGGATGTGGCTGGTGCGAGGTAGGTGGAAGTACAGCCGGAAACCCCTGCTTCAGCGAGTTCCTGTCCGCGAGAAGAAACATAGGCTGAAATGGCGTCCGCGGGAGATTAGGCGGCACAGGACGCGTAAGCGACGGCGGTTCTGCAGGCTTGACCGGGAGGTAGGTCTCGGAATGCGAGGCTGATAGAGGTGGAAATGACGGGTGTGGACTACTCGATAAGGGTAACACAGTTTCGCTGGAATTTAGCGGCCATGAGGGGGGTGCACGGAGGGTAGAACTTCCCGCCGAACTTGAAGGTCCACTGGACACGCTGCGGGCGTGATATCCTGGAGACGGAGGGGCATAGTAAGAAGCTGGAGAACGGGGGGTGGGCGAGAGGCTGGGCTGTTCGGTTTTCTCGTCGACCAGGATCATCGTGGTAGTTGCAGTGAAAGTGCAGTGACGAGGCTGTGTCGACCTAAATTTCCCAAGCGAACGCATCAGATCCGTCGGTAAATCTCTTCGCCGATCCATCATCCTTGCTCTTCGGAATTCCCTGCGCATATTGCTGCTGTTTCTCTTGACATGGGCAAACGAAGAGACTAGCCTTGAGTGAAGTGGCTCAAAAGTACCAAGGCACTACCATAGGAAACACGTCATCGGTCCGAAACTCCGAAATTCCGACCCATTTCTTTGTCGTGCTCGCTTCCTGCTTTCTTTCTATCGCACGCTATCGTCGGCCCTGAAAACCCTCATCAGTGGGAACTGCACCGCTTTTACTCGTTGGACAACGGCAAACTTGATACTAAACGAACAGAAAGCCACAGCCCACTTCCGTTGGGCACGAAAGGACAGACTTAAAACAGGCCTGGGATTTGGTATGGAACCGTCTACCTCGGAGGTCTCTTTTATCACTTTCTAGAAATTGACAGCCTTGACGCAATGGATCTCTGGCTGGGACTTCCCGTATTCGTAGCTCGAGCACTCGAGCCATGATCAAAACATCTCTGTTCATATTCAAACCCTATGGTCTCGTCGCTATTTATTCACTACACCTTTTTTGGCTTGCTCATTATTTTTCTGCGATATCTTCGGCAGCAGTTAATTTCTCGCCGACGACGCCGTGGGTTCTCTTGACTCTTGACCGGTGAACCAACACCAGCCGCCTTATCAAACACCCTTCCAGACCTACCACTCGCCGATTGAGTACACCCCATAGCCCTAAATCAAAACATACCTCGAGGTTTGAATTATTGACGGCATTCCTCAGCTGGCTCGCGTAAATCGCAAGATCTCTCATCGCGAACCGAGAGCAGGCAGAACACGCCGACACCGCCGCTAAATTGAAAGGCGACAGATCAAGAGCAGCCTCTTCAGCAGCATCCGCACTGGGCGTAATCCTGACGCTCATTGCGACGCTCTCAATGTGGCGCTGGAACCACGCAGCCGGGAGCACCTGCAGCACGACCTGCTGCGTCGAGACCGTCGCATCTGTCGTCTCGTACTGGTTGATAGGCCCACAGTCGCCACTATGCCCCGCTCCGTGGTCCCACCAGATAAACAGCTCCCCCGTGTCCTCCGTGCCTGCAATAGACTGCGCGTACGCCATGGGCGGGTCCGCCCACAGCTGCTCCCAGCGCAGAACGCCCGCCGTCCGCTCCACGAGCTCCTCCGCGCGCGACCCACACACATGGTGGAACCCGTATATATTCTGGAACTTGTCCGCCGAAATCAGCGCGAGCTCGGGGAACTTGCGCAGCGGCGGGCACACCGGGGCGCCGAGCGTGCAGAGCGCCGCCTCCTTGTCGAGCGCGGGGATCTCGCGCAGCCGGGCGATGGCGAATAAGCGGTGCGGATGCGCCTCGATGAGGACCGGGTCCAGCAGCATCGACTCGAGCTGGCGCCGCGCGTCGAGGAGCTGGTATTTTTCCGCCGCCTGGTGGATCTTCCAGACGCCGTCGAGGTCTTCTGCCGTCCTGAGGGCGGGCTGCGCGTCGCCTACGGCGAGGCAGAACAGCTTAGACAAGACGTCGCTGGATTCGACAAGCTCGAGACAGACTTCCCCGTCGGTTTTCTCGTCGACGCCGTGGAGCATGCTGCGAAAAACGGGGGATGCGGCCGTGAGCAATTTTCGGTCCACATGGAAGCCGGCGCCGTCGCTGGAGCGCACGATAAAGCTGGAGTTGGAACTGCACTCCGCGGAACTGCGACCCGAGAAGGGCGGTAACGCGCTGGCGGTGGCGGTAGGTGAGGTGGCCATGGATGAAAATTGCACGTGTGGTCAGGGCGGTGCCGCCACACAATTTACATACTCGTTACCTCGAGTTTCTAGAAGTTTCGGGGACTTGTGCGCGCCGACCTTCCAGTTAACGTAGTTAAAATTATAGAATGAGACGGCCACCAGGGGTGAGAGAAGGAAGTTTATGTCTGAGCTTCGGTCAGCAAAGGGTTCATTCCAAAGTTCATGCAACATGTTTGAATGACAATGAATGAAGGTTGGATGTCAACTTCAGGATCATCGAAGGGTTCTAAATGAGCACCGAAAATTGGAAAGAGCGCATTGGGCGGGCCATTAAAATATTACCGGGACCAAAAAAGAAACAACGGTAGCTGTTCATGGCCATCGTGGGGGTCGAACCCAAGACCTTCGCGTATATCGATGAGGATATTAGCACGACGCTCTAACCAACTGAGCTAGACGGCCGACACTTGTGGTGCACCGCACAGTCACCCGATAAGCAATCCGAGTCAGTGGTCCGCTGTCGGCAATCATCGGCAAAGGCGACGGCTGTGCAGTCTCGAACACTCGCGAGGTGTGGTGGCAAGCACAGCACGACATCGCTGCTTCCAAGATCCCCTGGCACAAGTCTATCCAAGGCGCAAATCCAATGCGTCGCACGCTCACTCCCCCAGTGCCGCCGCCAGAACTCCGGCGCCTCCCCATCCACGAGCGTCCCGTCGCCATAGACCCTCAACGAGCCTCCCCGCTCTTCAACGGCCTCATCCCACCCGAGATCCGCAACACTCTCTTCGCTGCCATCCTTGCCGAATACACCCCTTCCGACCCTTCTCTCGTGTACCCCCCGTCCGTGCGTCGCCCAGGCCAAACCGGCCCCCGCACCATCAACGTCGCCCTCCTCCGCACCTGCCGACGCATCTACCTCGAGACCTACCACCTCCCGCCACAGCTCGCGACGCACGTCTTCTGGCACGCACCACACACCGGGCCTCCGGGTCTCAGCGACCGGTTCGCAAACATCCACGGCCACGAGCTCGAGGCGCACTACTTTGCACGCCTCGCGTGCTGGCAGCTCCTCCGCGTGACAGAGGTGAAGCTCTTCACCCAGATGTTCTGGCTCGACCAGAGCTTCGGGGAGCTCTGTGCGAGCGGCGTCCTCCCGCCGAGCATCGAGCGCCTGAAGATCACGCTGAGGGCGGGCGACTGGTGGTGGTGCGAGAGGAACCACCCGTTTATGATCAATCCGCATCGTGGAGGGTATCTCGCGGAGTACATCCAGGATGTTGCACGGGAGGAGCGCGGGGAGGTTATTCCATTCACGGCGGGCGGCTGGGGCGGTGCGTTGCAGCGGTTGCCTGCACTGAGGGAACTTGAGATGCAGTTCGAGACAACAATGAACCGCAAGGAAGAGCTCAAGAAGATTGTGGAGAGGGCGTTGAGGTGGAGGTTTCCGATGGGGGAGCGTGGCGTCTTGAGTAATAAAGGGCTGGGGATGGACGTTGATGAGTGGAAGAGGGATGACGAGTCGTTCTGCGTGTTCACTGTGCGGTGGGAGTTGGTGGAGGAGAATACGAAGTAATCAGACGGCGAGTCTAGATGTCCATTTGAGCCGCTTTAACCCTTCAATAAACGCCGTGCTACATAGGACTGTTCGAGACAATTGTAATTTAACCTGTATTCTCAATTTGCGACGAATGTTCTACTGGTATTCCCGAGCGGTTCCCCTTACTCTTCGGATACAAGGGCGCAACTCACCCAAGCTCGTGGTAAGTACTCCGCGAGCCTCTTTTACTTCACTTGAGGTTTGCTTCGTCATTTTTCCACTAAACCCCCCACATTAACCCACAGATTCACGCTAGATTTCTAACTCCCGATGAACTCGCGCTAAATTCAGTTCTGAAGTCGGGTTTGGCTGATTCATTCGTTCCAACATCTATTTCTATGAGTTCCTCTCCCGGTTGATGCAGGCTTACAAGGCCCGGGAGCGCATGGCGCGCATCTGCTTTCTATTAACGTGTATGTTTGGAAGTCTCATATATTGCAGACCCGCCCGTTCGACTCGGGCTCGGGCCACAGTCTCTTGAGGCGAAGTTGAATCTTTTACTTGCTTCATCCTCAGGCTTTCCTTTCCTTTTTTCAAGAAAAAAAACGGCATTCGTTCCTAGTCTGGTGTCGAAGCCGTTGAACAGTGCCCGGGAGCGCAAGGTGCGCAGCTGCTTTCTATAATGCTGCAACCATAATCGGTAGACACTGCAGAAACGCCCGTTCGACTCGGGCTCGGGTCATAGTTGGAGATCTAGATCTTTTACTTGCTTCAACCGGAAGTTTTCTTTTTTTTTTAAAAAAAGCGCTAGCATTCCTTCCTAGGTTTAGTCTGGTGTTGAAGCCGTTTAACGGAACAGGGCCCGGGAGCGCAAGGTGCGCAGCTGCTTTCCATACCCCTCCAATCATTTGGGAAGACACTGCAGAAACGCCCGTTCGACTCGGGCTCGGGCCATTGGCTGGAAAGAGTCGATTTTTTTCCCACCTTCATCTTGTCGAGTGTTGAGTTTCGTTTAACCGCAGTCGAAGGGAAACTGGCTCATTTATTTTTTCTCGGAGATTATGTCTAAATGACAAAATTGAACCTTCTGGTCGGGGATGAGGAAGGCTCGGTGGCGCGGGGCATGCATCTGCTCCTGGAGACTCTGCCTGTTCGACTCGGGTCTGAGCCATCTCTGCGGAATTTGTGATCATTTCTTTTTTTCTTCATTTCCTCGAGTTTTCAGCGTCCATTTCAGTGTTAACAGTCGCTTTCAAGGAGAATTTTCCCATTGCTTTTTCTCGAGGGCGCACTGGCGTAGCCCGCGAAGCCAGTGCAATGTTTTGTGACGGTGGAGTGACACGCTGACAGTCGATCAGCCCTCTCCTTTCAGGCCGATGGTTGAAAACGACGGGCTCCTTCTGTTCAAGCTGCGCATCGCATCTGCTTTCTATGCAAGAGGTACGAATTCGAGGTATTATTTCAGACCCGCCCGTTCGACTCCGGCTCCAGCCATGGGAGAGTGATGGACGGTTTATTATTATTATTATTTGGATTCCTCAGGTGTCGCCTTCGTTTAGCCACAAGACTGAAGAGAACTTGCCGAATTATTCTTTTTCTCTGAGATTACATGTAGTAAAAACGACCTCAAGCTATGCATGGGACATGTCCGCTCCAAGGAGTCTTCTGTTTGTCTATTTATTTTTTGGACTAGGGTTGAATTCGTCGGAGTTAACAGAAGGTGCCAACACGTCTTTTGGCAGGCGCCTGCAACGGGAGGCTGCTTCATGAATAACCAACGCTGGGAAAAACGCGTTTCCGTGTCCCTGTAATGGTGATGGTTGCGGGTGCAACTCTTTGTGACGGGCTCGATGCTTCGGGGCGGGGGAAGGCGGAAGGTTGAATGTGACCTATTCTCTTCAATCGAACGAGATCTATCGATGAATTATAACCGCACGCACGCTGCATTTCGATGCAAGTGTCACTTTTAGCTATTTTCAAAGTCATACTTACAAGAACCCTGAACACAAAACTATGGAGTGATGGATTTCATTCCCACGTCGTCACGGCTCACTTCCCCTGCACTGGGGCCTGCGGCTATGCCTCGTGGCGCAAATTGCATGCGAGTTGTGGCGGAGGTGGTAGGCTCAACTGTCTTTCCCATTCCAATCCGCGTCTGCAAAAGCGCATTGGAAATACCGGCGATCATAGACTGAACTCCAAACGCAAAATATTGCAGAATAGAGGTTTCCTGCTGTGATATCACGAAGAACAGGGCCCATGCTCTAAAGCAAAAGTCAATCCGACTGTAAAAGTGGACTGTACTGAAACGCACGTGTACAAGGCCGAACTCTCAACGACCATGGCCAGGAAGTGCTGATCTGGGTGAGTATGGGATATAATTTGGCCAATACCACCTACGTTCAGATTTGTCCCGTTCAGCGGCACACAGATCCTTGTGATTCTCCAGATCTTCCAGGCAATTAATCCTGTTACTCAACCTGCCTCGGTCATTGAGCTTGCAAACAGTATATAGGGCTCAGACCTGTGCAGTAGACATTTATCCTATTGCATGGAGTTAGATTCATCAATGGGCACAGTATTTTCTGGGTTTGCGTACATGAGGATGAAAACAAACATTGGGATAAAGATGACAATATTGGCTGTAACGATGACGCCCCAACTGTCGATCGACGCCAGCGTGGAGCACACTGCGGTTCAATTAGCCTCAACTACAGCAAGCAACGATTTACTGACCGATAAGTCCAACCCACATGAATATTGGCAATACAATGATGCCCTTGTCGTGATTCCAAACCACCCACAGGCGGTAAATCTTGGGTTTCCGTCAGCCAATAGGGATAGCTCTCATGTTCACTGCTCACCATCATGCAATCATTGAGTATAATGGAGGCACTTGCGGTACCCCACATTGCCGCTTGTATGCCTAGCCGAGTGTTCGCAAAGTATTCCGGAGCAGCGGTGCCACTTTCAAAGAAAACGAACGCATTAAAGTTCATAAGAATTAGGATGATCCAATTCTAGAGCCCATCATGTCAGCCGCAATCCCCTGTAGGGCACACAAAACAACGGCTTACTGCCGTCACGGCGAAAAACAGCGCACATCCCAGCACAAACATAGTTGAGTGGTGCAGTGGACTGGCGTGAGCCCCTCTCGAATGTTTAACCAGGATGTATATGGATGTCAAGAACAGGTTCAAGTAGGCGCCATACAAAAAGCTTCCGACAGTTAGGTTGGTAAGTTGCATAATCGGGGTAGGTGGGGAGGGCATAGCTGCTGGGAGGTGTTTTCTTGGTTGACAGCGACGCGAGACGCTTTTATGTACGTTCGGCGACAGCAGAGTAGCTGAGAACCTGGGCTTCCGCCCCACAAATTCTCACGGCGTTAACAGCTTCAAAGCCCACGCTGTTACGGTGACAATGGCAGGTTTCTCAGACCTTGGCAGATGCGTTGAGGTTAAAGTTTTCCGATTACATGCTGAATCAAGCCCGGCCCCCACCGGAAGCATTATTCAACAGGTCAGGCTCTGTCCTTAACTTTCGCTGGCCAACAAGTTCACCTCAGTGATATCCTCCTCCTTCACTCTTTCTTGTCCGCCACTGTGTACCCCATATCATTCATGTGACGTCGGCTGCCAGACAGTAGAATGAAACCAAGCTATTACTGGCAAGTCTGTCGCATTTGTATAGCTGTACCATTTCAACTGCCGATCCAAACATTGGGCAAGATTTCTGATGTCCGAGATGCACGGAAAATCTGTTTTATCGAAAGAGAACTTTGCAAACCAAAGAAATTAGGTGCGCCGAGACTTACGCCCCGACAATTCGGAACGGATAAGTATCAAGTTGATATATCCGAATGGGGGCACCATATAGCAGTAGCGAAACAATGCTCAAAAGATGGTTATTTACAACCGACACTGCACTACACTGTGTGAATTGGACTACATTCTTGGGCGAATTGGGCAAATTACTGATCTGTAATGTCTGCTTTCGGCCGCGCATGTCAGCTGTCCACTCGACAGATCCATTCTTTCGCGGATGGGCCCGGGCGGTGATAAATGAAAAAGAGCTAAATACGGAGACGAAGGAACAGGAGGGAGCTGTTTTTGAGGTGAATGGTGCTAAAAGCAGGCTTGTAAGCTGAAAAATATTTCCACGAGAACGGACTGGAAAATTGTGAACAGAGCTTGGTCATCATAAATATGGAGGGAATTCGAATTTTCGGAGCAGATTTCGGAGCAGATTTCGACAGTCGTTTGATCTTCGAAGATGGCTTGAACAGCATGCAGGTCTGTTCATACACTTGGGAAGAATATAGCAATTGCGCTTGTCTATAAAAAGAAAAAGAAAACGTGCCACCGAATGGGGATGGCTCGGGGCGCGATTCGAACGGCCAAGAACGGGCGTGGCCTGCGGCAGCTGTTTCGGATTACTTATCGAGCGCAGATGCACACCGCGCGCAACAGAAGTTTCTCACTTACCGTCTTCCTCGAACATAACTTGAATTTGGAGCTCATTTTTGGAGAGAGCGCGCCGCAAAGCTCCAGAGGATACTACTTTTGATGGCTGGAGAAAAACATCCAATAGTATTTCTGCGAAAAGAAAACCAGATAGGCCCGGGGAAATTCAATATTGCACCGAGACAGAGATATCGTCCGGTCTTGTTTTCGCATATGTGCATCTGCATTTGATTCGGGAATCGGTGGCCGTTCAATTGCTGACTTCAAAGTTGAATCGAAGACCGATGCAGACCGCTAGGGAGAGGAGAGACAGAGTTGAATTGAAGAGAAGGAGAGAGAGAGAGAGAGAGAGAGAGAGAGAGAGAGAATTGATTTGGGCGCGTCGTGGGAGGATCCATCGTAGGGTGCGCCTTCCTGCCTCCACGATGGTCCCATCCGTAGTCGCTTTCTTTAAATCAAAATCAACCTTGCGACTGCCAGTGGGCACCACGGTACGTTCAGCCGTATCCATACAGCAATCGATCTCATCCCGAATGATACCGTATCGCTTCAGCCCCGATCCCTGTCGACCAAAAAGAATACAGGCCCACGCTCGAACCTGACAGCACAAATAAACCTTCTGTACTGCAAAAGGCCTGCACCAGTAAAGAAGTGGACGCAAGAAGTCGCTGTGGGAGATTCTGACAGAAGGATTTTCAATCAGCCAACTTCTACGGCCTTTGGGCGCAGAACACTTGCGGAAGAGAAAACCTCTACGTAACCACTGCAATTGGACAAATTGTTGCTGTACCATGTCCTCTGTGACATCCAAAAAATAGTCGTAACTTGTATATGCACATCCAAAGATTGGAATTGACAGAATCAACGTTCGGCCTTCGTATGTAGTAACTACACCACAGTAGCCCTCTGCCAGGTATTAGTGAATCTCAATGAGTGTCCCCTTCGTCGATGCGATTAGTTCCTCTACTTTCCCTCGCAACTCCTTAATAGGTACCCCCGCGGGAGCTGTGCTCGCGATCCGTCGAACGCCATCGTGTAATCGCGAATCGCTTGCCCGCAGTGGGAAT